CCGTAATATTGGGAATGGAAGACAAACCATTTGTGGTCTGCTCATCCTGCGCAGGGTTACCATCTTCATCCTCGTCAGGCTCAATGGTAACAGATGAATGATGTGAATAGGACTGACGAGATTCTTCACTCAACCCCATCACGTGCGAGCTTCCATCGAGGCTCTCGTTGTCTTCAGACGCATTGTCAGCAAGCGAAGACGCGATGCTCGCACGGCTTTGGGCAGGTGAAGAGTTGTCTTCCTCCATTGTCACTTCGTATCTAAGAGATCACGTCAAAACTGTTACAGCTTTTCATAATCACCATATGCACCATTCAATACTTTTGCTACATGCACTTCACGTATCATGGCACAGCATGGATGCTACCACTGCGAATGATGCTACGCTAAACCAGCACTGACAAGCGAGGAGCAGTCAAATGCGGTTCACCCATTATCGATTATACAACGTCCAGCCGTCCAGCTGTACCCAGGCTGTTTCGTGGGGACTGATGGCGCGCCAAGCCGAACAACCAATGGCAATAGTACACAGACTCGCGGCTTGCGGCGCTTGACGGCAAAATGAGTAGAGCTGTTGCCATAGTAACAAATATCTCTTAATGCTTCCACCAGTCAGCACTTTTTATTATCTATTTTCAATCAAACACCCCTACCCAGCTAAGCTAAGCCCAGCTAAGCATTCTGTGATGGGTTGCTCGGCGGGCGGATGGCGGGCGGGCGTGTCTGACCTTTTATGTGCTATGTTTTGTTATGTTGTATGCTTATTCTATGTAATCATTTCTCTGCAATCTTAATTGCATGTTGTTTCTTCTCTGTTGGAAGGGCGCTTTAATTTAAGCTTTGCTTTTGCGCCTATCCACTATTTTGTTGTTTCTTTTTTATGTTTTGGAGAGAACAAAATAAACTGAACTGAACTGAACCCAGCCAGTTAAGAATGCAAAAATCGTCTTTTTAATTCGACATCGGTGCGGGAAGCCTGCCTTGTGTTCCTATAACCTTATAAAATCCAACGCTGCACTGCAACACAGCCAATTCCTTCGCTGCATCTTCCCCATAATAGAAAAAGGGTAAAACAAATGGTACTCAGCAGGCAACATTCATACGGCTCGTAATGACCCGGTCATCCGAAAGACAACTAACGATGCGTCGGTGTATATTGTGAACTGTGAAGTGAGGATAAATTCACATGCAACAATCGCAACGTTATCCATCTATTTGTCAAAGACACGTTGATGAATATCGATTCATATAAAGAATGGGTAATTATCGTTTCAAAACATGATTTAAACATTTAATCAACACGCAACATACAAATTACAAAAAGTAATAACTTAACCCTCGCATGTGTAGGGGGGGGGGGTCGGATGGACCCCCCCCATGGTTTTTCGCGAATAACTCGCGTAAAAAGCGGTCGATCGCGACGAAACTTTCAGTACCCTCGCATTGATCAATTTTACACCTACCCTGAAAATTTCATGACCCTGACCCAAATGACCTTTGACCTGTGACCTCTTTTCCGAGACCATGTTTGGCCGGAATCGCGATCTCGCGTATGTCGGCTCGCACTAGCCGCGTGTTTGCAAGCTTTTCGTGGTTTCAAACGTTCAAACATGTGATTTGATGTTACTCCCGTGTGTGTCAAGGTCACCTGAAGGTCAGGTCAGGTCATTGACCTTTGGTGACCTCGGGTGACCTCGGGTCACTTTTTCGAGTTTTACATGTTTCTAGGCTAGTTTTTGGAGCTGAACTCGAATTTAGCAACCATTTGAACATTTACAAAGTAGTTTTGGTGACTTCGTAACATGTTACGAAGCTGTCAGAGGCGGTTGACACGTACTACGAATACCCGTCACGACGCCTATTGGTTGACCTGACCTGACCTGACCCGACCTGGTCTAAATGCTTCAAGACATCATCTGTGATCAAAACTAACACGATATTCGTGATCAGCACCCCGAAAAACCCCTTAGCAGCCACACTTTACGACTTTCTAACAGGTCCCGATTTTCCCGACTTTGGGTCATTGACCTGACCTGGAAGGTCAACCAATGACCTAGGACCTTAAAATTGGGTATCATCGGCTTCCTCTCGTCACGGGCAACACGCTCGTTTTTTTCGCGAAGCTCTAGCTCGATCAGGGGCCAAACGGCAAGGGGGGGTCCAACCGACCCCCCCCCCCCCCTACACATTAGAAGCTGGCAAACGCCGCACACATGCGAGGGTTAACATGAACATGACGGGTATATGCGTTGCCAGGGCATCAGGCCGCCAGATCACCTAAATAGCAAACCCTCATGAGTCAAAGTCTACTCAATATTCACTCTGGTGATCTGTTGCTTAGCCGCTGACTTCAATGCTCAATGCTAGCATGAAAGACGGGAGTCTTCAAGTCCCTCTTCTGTCTCCTGCTGGAGCCAAGTATGATATGTCTGTACAAATAAGCACACAATAAAGGCGAGGGTATGCACGCATGTGACGAGGGACTGTCGCCGGCGACAGTGCAGCGAAGGTGGGGACGAATAGTCATGGCATCACGGTGAGGTGACAGTTATGCTATCGGAGTCAACCATTCCACAAATCTCGCAACATTGGCGGCACTACAGGTGTGAGACAAGGGTCAGCAACTTCACTTATAATGGACCATAGACCTCTGCATACAGAAGTATACAGAGGTCTATGAACGGACAAAACTGACAACATACCGCACATAGGGTTCACAAAATGGTTGCATCTTCACTCGTAAGTTATGTTGCAATAAGATAACTTCACAGTTTGCTGGTGAATAATGCCGTCGATGTAAGCTGCTTATGTTTGCTGTTATTAGAAGTTGTTAAATATCAAATATAGAACAATTATCAAGCACAAACTGAAACATGTCTACAGTGGCTGGTATCATCTACAATATTTACGAGCATAGGCGTCGCCAGAGATTTTCGGTTGGGGGGGGGGGGCAAAATCAACTTTTGTGTGAAATCTTGCCTTTCCCCAGTCGCTACTCACTCATTTTGCATATCATTCGACGCGCAATGGTGCGAGGAATCCGATGGTGACAAAGTTTTCCTTCTAGCTATGACATGTATGTTTTTACAGAAAAAAATCGAAATTTTGAAATTTGTGGACAAAAACGACCGGTAGAAATTCGTGGATGCGCAGCCGTGGGAATTTCAGACGGCTCCGGCTCCGGCTCCGGAGAAAAAAAAACGGTTCCGGCTCCGGCTCCGGGTGAAATGCCATGGCGGCTCCGGCTCCGGCTCCGGCTCCAAATGCTCAGTACGTCCCCTATACAGTTAAATACGGGTCGAAGAAAATAGACGATGGGATTGGTGCAAGTTGCTTCTGTATTTGCATAACAGGGCTATTTTCATATTTTGAATACCGCATGTTTTACTGCCATGAACTGTCAAACCGAACTAGGTCAATAATTTTTGCTCTTAAAAAAAGGAGCCGGAGTCGCCCCTTTTTTTGACGGCTCCGGCTCCAGCTCCGGCTCCGGGCTATATTGTTTCACGGCTCCGGCTCCGGCTCCGGGCAAAATGTGCCGGCTCCAGTTCCGGCTCCGGCTCCGCGCCCCTGGGTAGAATTACAGTGGCTGCAATAGACGACGCACTGCAGAGGGTCCCTGTGCAGACTCTCGTCACTCATGGTCATTACCCAGAAAAAGGTGAAAACGCCCCATTTAATCGGATCACCCTGCTAAAACCTCCATTCACGCATGCATGCAGAGGTTTTACGTGAAATGCATAGGGCTTATCCCAGCCGCCGATTGTAGCTAAGTTGGGCATTCGGCGGAGACTGAGCGCGAATGTCGGAAGTGTGAATGGGAAGTAAATTAGTTGGTAATTCATCTTTGCTCCAGTGGAAGAAAGTGTTTTGTTCACTCGAGTGCGAACAAAAAGTTTCTTGTTTTTCGTGTGAAGGGAAGCGCTGCAAACGTGAACAAAAATGTTAAACGGAGTCAAAAGTTGCGCACGGCATAGCGGCAATGGATTCCTTAGAGATAGGCTTTGGACTTCCAGGCCATCTCAAGCCACTCAGGGTCAGTGTGGACTCTCAGAAGCCTGCTTAGGTTCCCGGAGATCGGCGTGGGTCACCCCAAATATTTACGTGTATGTGGTGTTTTACGGCTTTCCGAGCCCAAGGTGGGGCCCTCAGAAGCCAGTGTGGGCGGCGGGCGCTAAGAGACTAGGCCCAGAGTGAGCCTAGAGCCCTCGGATAACTGTGAACCGTTGGGGTCTGTGTTGAATCCCTAAGAACCCTATGTAAGGACATAAGAAGCATGTGTTGCGGCCCATCAGATGCCGGCTTGGGGTTAGCAAAGTCTGTCGCTTCAAAAGTTCGGCTGAACTGTCAGAGGCCAGTTAAGGTTCTCATAAATTTTCGAAGGCATCCTAAAAGATTCGTGTGGCCCTTCAGAGGTCTACGTATGTATAAGGTCCTAAAAGATCCCTGTATGGGCCCTCAGAGAACATGGACACCAGTGGGACTCTCAGCGGCCGGTTTGGGCCCTCTGAAAGCTTTTTAGACATCAGTGGAGCTCCTTAGGAGCCTGTGTGGAAAGCAAGCTCATGAGCCCTGCGGCACTTGAACGGTACTTGAGCCTGTCGCAGACATTTGACGAGTCGAGAAAGGCTCCATAGATTTCGTGTCACGCTTTGAACGAAAATTATGTGTCAGCACTCCAAAACTTATGAAAATCAGCTATAAAATGTAATAAAGAACCAACTAAGAAAATGGAATGAATCACAGCATTGACATTTCCGAGTCTGGAGTCGGAGTCTTGAAGATTTTGGGGACTGCGACTCTGACTTTGGTTTGAACTGCACGCTCCAACCGAGTCTGATCTTACAGACATTCTCAGAAAGGTACCCCTATTTTTTCCCGACTCCAAAATCTCATCAGATCTGTATCGATCTCAGGGTGTGCCCGGTCCGAGGTTGGGGGGGGGGGGGCAAGCTGCCCCGCTTGCCCCCCCCCCCCGTGGCGACGCTAATGTTTACGAGTATACTTGTCGATGCATAAAGCAAAGGCATTGAATGAGACGCAGGGCCCACTTTCACACATAGGGGTATACAGTGTGCAGCTAAAACAGTGGTACATTGAGCTCCGACGGACGAGGGCTGACGCCACGGTAGGTGACTGTTCTGTGCACAGATGAGTCGATGTTCACAATACTCACACACAATGCTCGCGGAATGTTTCACACTTCATCTGCATAGTTCTTTGAGTCGTTCGGCACCCATCAAGCTAGGTGTCATATGTTCGTTTCCAGCACTGTTGAGTCAGAGTTTTACACTCACTGTCAACATGGAGCAATAATGAGCTCAAATGCACCAGGTACTATTCACACGCGCTGTGATTCGGCGGTTTATACAGGGACCAGCCCGAGCTCAGTTCCCCTAAGCGCTTTCAGGCGCGGGAGCAGGAATGCGGAGAGAGTGAATGCCGTCTCAATGGCGGCCGAGTGCCCGTATTCGCAGGTCCATACTTTCATCTCGCAGCTCGGCGATATCCCACTGTTTTACGCAATGCGGCCACCACCCATCAGTGTCCATACTCGCAGGGTTCGGCAGCTCCTCAATATCCATACTCGCAGGGTTCGACGGCCCATCAGCGTCCATACCCACACGACTCGGCGTCCCCTCAGTGTCCATACTCGCAGGGGTCGCTGCACGAGTGTGTGAGGGTGCGCCCGCTGGCGGAGAGCAGTGCCGTCCGCTCGTCGGGCTCCTCCTGGCCGGGCTCCTCGGAGCTGGTGCTACCGCCGACCACCAGGGGGCGCGGTTTGCGCAGTCGGCGCAGTGAGCGGAGCTGGGTGGCCAGCACGCGGAATCGCGAGGTGCGCCGACCGGCCAGGCCACCGGCCGCGCACTCCGACGTTCCCTGACGGCATAGGTAGATCCCGGTCACTTCACACAGCCGGTAAAATGAAATGAATTAAGCGGCTATGGGGTAATACGACCGAATGCCTTTATATCATTGACCTTCATGAAAATGCCTCATTAGCATTTTTACGGCTTAGCATTTTTACTGTTCGCGTCGGACCGTCCTAAACCTGAACATAAAACTAATCGCACAGTTAACGCAATATTGATCTGCCACTAATGCTTAGGCTTTGCCAAATTGACAGCCTGCAGTATCGTAGATAAGCCTTCGAGCTGGACGCATATGCAAGTGTCATGCGTATTGAGCTTTCTTAGAAACCTATAACATAACGTCACGTGCCTGGTCGTCGGAAGTGTCGAGCGACCCTTGTCTCCTGATCCTGCGCCGGTGTCTCCTGCTGCTGCTGACGCTCCTGGCACTGCTCACCTCGCTGTCAGACGACTCCTGATACAGCTCCTGGCAGTCCCCAACAGGAGCTGACCTAGAAACAGGAAACGATACCGTAAGATGCCTTCCTGATATTCATCGATAGAACGGAACTGTGGAGATGTTGATAGAAGACAACGAGTAATAGGTATAAATATCCCGGAACAAGTGCATTTCCAACTCCGCAACTGATGGTTAGGCTGTCCCGCATTGCACGGCTGTCATGCGGTACCGTATCACATCAGTCAATATTGGAGCTTACCATTCCTGACGCCGTCAAACGCAACATAAGTCATCTCTGCTGGCTGAATTCGACAAATGACGAAGTAACGCGTCTACACACTGTTACTAGAGCTGTGTTTACATAACACTAACAACCGTGTGCTAGCTCAGCCATCCCCACAGCTCAACACTCAGACGCATACTTACAGCAGAAGTCCATGTTTCAGCTCCACTAAAAGCCTGAGTAACGAACAAGGATTTCGCCGCGCCGGCTCAAATCGAGCCCTCATTACTGGCTGGCTGAGAAAGCTAACGACCTCCTCTGACGGAGCTACTGCAGAGCGCCAGTGGATGATGATCGATGTCTCTTCATCTTCTCAATTCAGACCAGCGAGCGGAACGGGTTAGGAAGCGGAGGATTGTATCAGTCAGGCTTAATCGATTTTTAACCCGCGCCCCGTAGGGCTACCGGCGGACCCTACCACCCGTAGGGGGAGGGGGGGCCGTTTCGGCCCCCCCCTAAGATCTCGGAAAGTTACCGGCCGATTTTCAAAATTCAAACGGCGTTTGATAGCCCTACCCGGGAACTACCTTGTGACCAAATTTCATTGACCTAGGTCAAACCGATGACGTCACAGGTCAGGTCAAAGGTCAGATTTTCACCGTTCACAGGCAATTCAAGAAATGTGCTGTGAAATCGAGTAAATTGGTAATTTATTGAAAACCATCGATGGTATATTGTTCGTCAAACACATACTTTGCTATCTGAGGTCACTGATACCAGGTCAGGTCACAGCGAGGTCAGGTCACCGGGGGTCACAATATGAATGTGTCGTGTGATACATGTTTTATGGTCCATTTTACATGACAAATGCGATTATGTGGGTTAGGCAGCCTATGGGGCCAGCCTAGGTCACGTTTTGGTGAAGGTCAGGTCAAGGTCAGGTCAAATTAGGTCAAATTTTAAAGTTGATATTTTTGCATAAAATGGGTATCTATTCGATGCAGCTCGTCACGGGGAGTCTAATGGTGGTCTTTGTTTTGCTCTACGAGTTCTAGAATTGCCAAAAATTGAGTTTGAAAATTTGACGTCATCATTTTTGAACAGTTTTTTCGCTATAACTTGACCAAAAAACGAGGTATCGATCTGAAATTTGGTATGTAGATAGAAGACGGTAGGTACTATCACATATATTCCGGTTTTTTCGAAACTCAAAAAACTTTTTGGATTTTTTGGCTAATATATCCAAAAAATGCTTTTTTGATTTTTGGGGATCAAAACTCAAAAATTCCAAAAATCTGAGATGGCAGTTTTGTAGCCCTGTCAATTCTACACCTTTTATGTCTTGATCATTTTTCTGTATCTTCAAAGCTGTAGGCCTGACAGGTCTTCTCGCGAAGGTCTTTTTTCGGTCGAAAATGACAGAACATGACGTCACTCTGACGTCATTTGTGGCCAACCTATCACAGCCTCTGGAAAAATGTTTGGTCACAATGTGTAAAATTGATGCCCGGAGGGGTCCTGAAAGTTTGGTGGCAATATCTCCAGCCGTTTAGGAGATATCGACCGAAAAGGACAGGGGGGGCCGTTTCGGCCCCCCCTACGGGGCGCAGGTTGAGTCGAATCGCTTATAGCCAAGCAATAATGGAGCTATAAAATTCCCATTCCTAATTGATAGAGTAGGTACACCACATAATATTATACCTTTTAAGCAAAGAACACGGTAGGGCTCAAAATATATTTATGCGGAATGACGTGATTATCGCAAGCACACCGAACATAATGCAGAAAAGCAAAGTGTCGAAAGCGGTCAGGGTGGGTCGTGCATGTTCAGATGTGGCACCCACCTGTCTGGGGGCCGGCTGCACTACTGGCAGTACCAGAGGTCACCACCAGGTGTCAGCAGCGGCGCGCCGCTCCGGGCTCTCCGGGCTGCGGCAGGGACGGTCACTGGCACCCGAGACGGCAGCCGAACGGGCGGCAAGGCGCGCAAAAGCGGCAGACACATGCAGCAATCCAGCAGAATCGAATAATGCAAATCGCACGGACGGGTGAAGTGGCAAACAGCGGACTGTCAAAAGGCTCAATGAAAACGGACACACTTGCAGAAATAGTACGCAGCAGTGGAGTGGCACAAGACGTAAAACAATTTTTTTTTTTAATTCCAATGCAGTGTACGTAAACAAAGGAGAATCGAGTAAAGGGGTAAATGAAATACGTTGCGTAATAGAACGTAGAAACCTAATTTGAAACAGAGTGAGGGTTATTGTAATCATGCTCCTAAGATTAAAAATTAGCTTTGAGCATTGTCGAAATCTTGTACGCCCTTTTCTTCATATCAGTCGATCTGACCAAAAATTTTCAACCTTGTTCAGCTTATATTAAAAAATATTTGTTTTAGCGTGTTTACTCACTGATGTGTGTTTGTGACTTTCCAGGAGTTGGAAAAAAGGAGCCGTCGAGTTTCGTTATTAACGTGCTTTCCCGAATTTCACGTTAAGAAGTGATACCAGCCTTCATTTATCATGGCCGTAAGATGTGTGCCGCAAATTTCAAAATATGATGCGTAAATGCAAGTAAATTATTCATAGGCGTGAAATAATAATGTAACATACCTATTATCATGCTATTACCATAAAAAGAGTCATGAAGCATGTAGTCATGAACCAATTTATGCATCGATATCCGTGCAAGAAAAAGACTCGGGGCACACTCGCATGCGCTCACTCCCTCCCTCTCTCCCCTCCCTCTCTGCCCACCTGGTAACGTCGACGGACTCGTTGGACGAGGTCCAGCCGGCCTCCGAGCGCTGCTGCTTGCCCCGTCTCCGGTGGGTCTGCGCCGCCCAGGCCTTCTGCCGGTCGGCAGACGGTGAGCCGGTCCGGTCCGGCGGCACGGTGGGTACACTGCGCCATTTGACTGCGCCCCGGCGGCGGCGGCGGCCCGCGCGGCGCTGAGAGCCGCCCGCCACCGCCGCCGTCAGTCGCTCCGAGCTCGGGTAGTCGTACAGACAGTCCGAGTCAGTAGCCGGCAGCTCCAGCTTCCCGAAGAACTGCCGCGAGAACCGGCGCCCGGTGCGGTCGCTGAGCGGTGACTCGGAGCGCGACGAGGCCGGGCTGGGCCGCTGCGGCTCCTCCAGCGAGGAGTCGGACGGCAGCGGCGCCGGAGGGTGGATGACGATCTGGGGTGGCGGTGGCGGCGGCGGCTCGGCCGGTCGCGGCATCTCTGGGTCCGTGGATAGACAGTCGTCGTTACTGCCCAGAGCCGAGTCATCCTCTAGGGTGGCCTGGTGCAGCAGCACGGGCCGGCGCTGTGCCGCTCCGCCCGGCCCACACGCCTCCTCCAGCAGCGGGTTGATGGACGAGCACCGCGACGGCGCCGGGCTGTAGGCCGAACTGTAGCCTGACGAGCTGAGGTTCGACTCGGAGGTACTGTGTGCGCCGTTTGGAGCCAGCGGCGCCAGCAGCATACCGACCGTCTGTTTAGTACTATCCGTGTCGGAGTCCTGCTCAGACATATTTCTCGTCAGTCGACAGCCCGGCCGCGGCTGGAGCTCCAGAGAGTCGGCTCTGCCGCCCTCTTTCAGACACGGCGCCCGCCGCAGCATACTGAGCGCGTGAGGGGCACTCAGCTTCCTCTCACCAGGCTGTGGCAGCGGCATCAGTGGGGGAGCCTCGTCCGTTGGAGACGCTGCCAGGAAGGTAAAGGACGGCACTGCCATCGGTACCGGGTCAGGACTGACGTGAGGCGACGGGGGACTGCCCTCCGGATCGCCGCTGTCCTCAGAGATGACGATGGCTGGAGGTGATGGCCAGGATGGGACGGCAGGTGTCGATGGAGTAGGCGCTGACACGGTGATGGGTGGTGGGGAAGGCGGCGGCGCCTCGTCACTCTCCTCTGGAGACGTGTGCGTCGTCTCAATAATCACCATCGGGATGGGGAAGTTGCAGCTGTATTTGCGGTTGAGTGTCGGCGACGGCGTCCGGTTGACACCCTCCGGAGCGTCTAGCGAGGCGCTGCTGGTGCGCGACTGTTCGTTACCAGACATTGAGAAAGATGTGGACGCGTCTGAGTCCATGTCGGAGACCCTCTGGTCCATGTGGATGTGAATTGGTCGACGGGCCATTCGGATCGGCGTCGGCAGAGGCGAGGGAGACGGCGTGGGCACCTCTGTGATCGGTGACAGACACCGGTAGTCGTGGCACGGAATCTCGAGCGTCACGGACTGGGACGAGGATCCACCGCCAGTCTTCCCGCTGCCTCCCGTGAACACGGGAATCTCCAGACTGTTGGCTGCGCTGATCGCTCCTTTCTCCGTCTGTCCCGAGCCGTTAGCGGAGGGCGGTGACACGCCTATGATGGGCGGGTTCTCGTCGCCGTGATCAGAGTTGGCCGGGCTGGACGGTGTGGACACGGACTTGCCGTTGGCCCAGCCACGCAGCATGGACAGGATGCTGTCAGCACTGGTGATCTTGGCGATAGGTCTGTGACGCGGTGAGCTCGGTGTCGACAGAGACTGGATGAGTGCCGAGCGCCGCACGGCGTCCGGCGTCAGGTCAGAGCCCGTAGAGGTCGTCTCCACCGTGTCATCGGTTGGCAGGAAGGCCGGCGCCCGGCCGCGGCGCTTAAACGACAGTGAGCGCCTGGACCGGCTTCCCAGCAGATTCTGCGGCTTGTAGCTGCTGCTGGCGTCGCCGGCGCAGCTCAGGTCCGACCCGGACGAGGTCATCATGTCACGTGACACGTGTGACATCAGAGATGCAAATTTGACGCGCTTGTCGAACTTGCTGTCCATGATGTCGTGGAAGGATGTTTCGGCGAGGGTCGCCGGGTCGTCCACAGACTGGGAGCCCGACTTACGCTGGTCCTGGGGAAAAGACAGAGTACCTCAGAATAGTTCCACTCGGTTCCGGTATTTGCGAACGGCTTGCTTCAAAGCCTCGACACGTTTACTTTGTTCCACTGTTTCTATTTAATCTAAGGCACGCTGCTCGTCGCAGTTCAGCAGTTTATACGGCAGTAAAAACAGCGCCACAATTCCGTTTGAAGTACGTTCTGAGCACTTATGAGAAAAAGAAACTGAAAACAGCCTAGCAATTGCCTCGAAAAGATGCGACAAAAACAAGCTTCACAAATGAATTGCAATTCCACCAAATGTCTCCAATGCCGTCATTATATTCGGCCGCACCATGCTGGGCTGTTCGGACAAAGGTCAGACATTGTGTAGATCAGAAGACACGGTCCAGCATGACAGGGGAGGGAGCGCCGACCCTGTCCCGGTCACAGCCGATTTCGCTCCGGCCTGGGGCGGCGCGGCGAGCTCTAACGCTGCAGTGAAAGGGACTCGTGGTACCAGTCTGTAGGATGGCGTTATTAATTATCTATATTAATGCCTGATAATCCTCAGGCTGTGCTGCATTAAGCTTGAGTTTTTCGTTGATAGTCTGAGTTTGATATAGGGCGATATATGGCGTTTCCGTTCATTCATCAGGTTGTCAATATTTGCGTTTGACTTCCAGGGCTTTTGAGATTCCCAATAAAAGCTCAAAACAAGCTTCGCCATAAGAATTCAAATATTTAGCCAAAGGGCACATCAAACTTAACAGCTTAGATTAAATATCCCTCTAAGGGCATTGAAGATAAATTGTCAAAGGTAAGTCCTCAAATCAGGACGGTAATTGGTTAGAACGTTTGAGATGACAGACAACTTTCATGCTGGTCCAGACAAAAGGCACAGGAGCACGCACCTCTAGCTTCATCTCGGCAAGTTGGATGAACTCCTCGTAGCTGCGACTGCGCTCGGCCAGCGGGTCACGCGGAGTCACCAGCCCGCGCAGGATCCCCCGCGACTCGGCGTCCAGCTCGTGCGACTCCCCAGACGAGTTACGCTTGTAGCGAGGACTCAGCGGCGACCGCGAGCCTGAGTTACAGGCGAGAGGTCAGAACGGGACCCGGGTTAGTGATCAGATCGAGACTCAGGTCAGAAGTCAGACAAAGAGCGATGGTTAGACATGTGAGACCAATGACGACACTGGGGTAGAAAACGAAGTTTAAGAAGTAGCGAAGTGTGGCCACTGGCCATTATATTTAGTTCATTCCGTGTCAGAACGATTCCCTGACATGCCTGATTGGCCCCACGAACTGTACATACACAATAAATAAGGTCATTGATCTCCAACGATAGATTATGTGCAAAATACATTAAACGGCATAAATCTGTCGGAATCGGCATATGTTAACGTGTCAATGGAAGTAAGTGTGTGCTCACTACTTGCGTTAACTTAATGTCTATATAGGTAGGTATATAACGATAAATTGCACAATGCACAAGGGCCGAAGACTAATGCACAACGAGCTTACAACATACTTGACCTTTGGTGGCGCTGGGTCATAGGGCAAAATGACACCGTCAACACTTTGTTGGTGTTGGTCATCATTGGAGTAGCATTGACGGTTATTTTTACATAAGACCTATCCAACATTTTGCGCCGCTCATACATTATTACAAATTGTGAGCAAAATTTCGGCGTTGCTTGAATCGGGACTAACTGTCCCGTTCTCCTCCCTGTTAATTACAAAAACTAAACAATAAATCTTCTAAGCGATATCCACTTCAAATTCTCATCGAACAAGAACTCTCCAGTGACCATTCTACGTATGAACCCCACATCCCAGCCACACCAATCTCTATGATCTATCCAATTCCGCCTATTCCTTTATCCTTTGTTCCTTCCTATTCCTTCCGCCTAACTTTATCCCAATTCGCCCCTCTACCCCTTTGTCTTTCTATCACTTCATCCCAGCATTCCTTGGGTTCCTAACCCTCCGTCCCAACTCCCAGCGTTTTACTCACGTCTGCGGCCCAGCGGCGCGCGGAAAAAGTCCTCGACGCTCCTGCGCAGGTCATGACCGGGCGACGACGCCACCGAAGACAGGGACAGCAGGGAGACGCGCGACGTCTTGCGCAGGCTGAGTCGCTGCAGCAGGCTGCGGGGCGGCTGGGGCGAGACGGCCGGCGACTCTCGCAGCAGGGCGTGTGAGGTGCACGGTGACGGCATGTAGCCTACAGGTGCACAGAGGGGTCCGACCGACGGCCGACGGTCAGGGGCGATATACGGAGGAGTGTGGGCTGGTGCACGTAGGGGCAGCTAGTGACGTGGGTAAGGAATTACTGAACGACATGTGAGACTGCCAACAACAGTGATAGATAGAGATACGAATGACTTGACGATACAAATAGGAAGTAACTAACGGTCGATTTGCATAGGAGCACACGGTTCGTGTTGTCCGTAAACACTATCTGCTTGGAATGAAAGCTCCCAGTGATAATGATTGTGAGATTGTCCAAGTGATCATGTCCCTTAAATTGGATCTCAGATAAGATGGATATCTGTATTATAATTTTCATCAGCTTACATTTCCTCAGCCTCAAGGCAAGGCACTTATCATGGATGCTCCGCCAAAAGACACGAATTACAGACGGCACACGCCAGACAATGTCTACTGCCATCTGGGGACATCGCTGTAAGTTGGACTGAATATGCGATGTTCTTTGTGGCCGCACTTCAGTGGAGATATTGAATAATGCATGTCCGTTATTACCCTTGCAGCTGTTCTGAAAACACTGACACACTTGTACTTACACGAGACAGTGCTGAAGAGGACAATTTTAAAGCGCAGGACAATATCGTTGTTAAAAAGCGAAAAAACATATTCTTCCCCGCGGGGTTGAAAATTGTGAACTATGTCGAAACGTGCATGCCTGATGTGGTCCGTGTTTTCAGCAGTTATTTGAAAAAATAGTAGGCATACAGTCCTCAGAAATCCGATGCATATTGCGGATTGACACGGCTAAAAGCGTGAAATACTTACCTACAAATTCACAACCACTGTGTTATTTTGTAAAAAGTCGAATAGCGCATGCTCACTAGTAAAATATCTGTGATCAACTACGATGGTTCTGTGGTCGACTACGATGGCTCTGTGGTCGGCTGCAGCCACCGTGGTCCACTAAACTCTCCGCGTGTCTGTCTGTGTGCTCTACATGTCTCTACCGACGTGACCCGGCCAGGGGGCCTCTGACTCCGCCCGGTTACCTTTGGATCGGCCGTCGTGGGACGGGTTAGCGGCGCCGCACTGCGAGCCGGCCGTACCGGCGGCCGTTCCCGCTGGGTGGCACAGTGAGCGGTCATCGACAGCTCGACATCGACCTCAGGCGGCGCAGTTTGTTAGCGTTACAGTGACGCTAGTCGCTACCAATAACGGCTGTAAGCTCGGCCAGCGCACCTATAGGTACTTTTGGTCATTATATCCACGTGTCACTTCTGTTGTTACTTGTTAGTTTACTTGTTAGTATTTGTATTTAGGGCTTAATCATACTTATAATTGATTTACGAATGTATGCATTTGTTTTCAGTACCACTATTGGCATAATCGGACTGTGTTGTGAATGCGCTCATGCCAAAATGTTCTACGGCGTCATGTAGTCATGGTGTCATGGTGTCATGGTGTCATGTTAGTCATGTATGTAGGCATCCATTATTTCTTACGTGACTTTTGACCTACTCACAATTATTAAACACGAGTCTATGCCCTGCTCTTCAACAGTGAAACTAATCCTCTTTTGAAATCAATGCTTAGTATGCCAAGCACCACTAAAACAGAGAACTAATTATGCAAAGCGACCCGGGATTAGCGATAGTCTGCCGAGCACTTAATTGTTTGACATCGATCAGGCCCGAAACACATATGTACGATTCATAAATGTAAAAGGAAACCACCGGAATTACGATTGACCTTTCAGAAAATTCACTCCGTCGGAGGTAATAAACGCTAATTTTCCTTTCCATTTCATAAAGCGACCGCTGGCGGTGACCGTTTTCGGAAGTCAGGTTCATAGTGGCAGGTGGTGAAATGAGTGTGTTGCGCAGTGCTATGCAGATGTTTAGGAATTTAGAGCCCCGTTTCGAATTCAGGGCACGCATTCTCCATCAGAGGATAGAAGACCAAACAGATACGTCTGCATGCTCCGAAGCCTCTTAAAATTTTAGTATCCGTCCCTCGTTGCATTCAAAATAGCTGAGGAAATTGTCACTGTCCAGTTTCATTTGCGATAATTAAATGGAACAGCAGTAACTTAACTAAATTGCCACATTATCCCGTTATTTTCATTATTTTCCCCTCCCGCAAAGTCTGACCGTGGCTGGGCATTTATCCGGCATAACACCCAATTCTTAGCTCGTACCGCTGTCCCATGCACCGAGTAGCCACTCACCGCCGTAATATTTGCTCTTCTCAATCTCCTCTGCGAAGAACTGCTCGATGCGCTCGGCAAAGTGTTTTTTGATGCACCAGATGATGCCGATGCCGACCATGACGACGGTGACGGTGATGAGACCCAGCCAGAAGGGCTCTTCGATCATCCGCTCGCTGAGCGGTTTGTACGGTATGTGCAGCACGCGGGTCTCGCAGTGGCGGCCTGGAGGCACAAGGGATGGCGAGACGGTTAGCTAGCACTGAGGATATAATTATACACCTTTTTGCACTCAAAATAGGCATCTTTTCATTCAATTTCGGCGAATTGCATTCAATTTTAGCGATCTCTCATTTGCTTTGAATAGAGAGATCGCTAAAATTGAATGCAATTCGCCGAAATTGAATGAAAAGATGCCTATTTTGAGTGCAAAAAGGTGTAGTTTGCAGGAACGCTCATACAGCATTCCTGACGGCAAAGTGACAATAAATTCTGATGTCAATCCAGGCATTCGAGTAATGATTCAACCTGGCCTTCTGTTGATAAACGTTATGAAATAACCCGTCGGAAAATGTATCTGGCTAATATCACGACTCTGCGCTAGGCATGTGTACAATGTTGATGATATGGAACACCAGTGAAGATGGAGTATTGATAGGCACATTCCCATCAGCGGCCAGCTGATTGGATGGGAAACAGTCCTCCGATATTCTCAGATGCTTGTTCTCATCGTCAGCATATGTCAGGGCAGGTACTCAACCAATATGTACATAACAAAAGAACAATCAAAACAAACCTTCTGGTCACAAAAAAACGCTCCCGCCAAATGTCAGCCGGCTCGAATATTGCGCACCGTTTTGCTCTTCATTATAGCGAGAGTTGACCGACAACACTGCAGTGTGGCTGTCAATATTGACCCACTTATCGGGCCAGTCGCCAATATTCAATAGCTCTCAGTCTGTCACCCCGCCCCTGCACCCCCCCCCCCCAGCGAGTAGCGGGGGGGGGGGGGTGAGGTCAGCCACCGTGGCCTCCTTCCGCCATTCAGAGCACGCAGCCCAGTATGCCGCCGGAGAAATCGAATCACATCACCGTCAGCCAGCGTCTGCAGGCGCGCCCCGTGAGATAATCGGACACGTGAATGGGGTGAATAGGTACTGAATATGCCATGAATATGAAAAGCGTGTTGACTTGTTGAAAATCATTAAAAAAAAAATAGGTACTTATTGACCCTATCGCCTGCGCTTACGTCCGGATAAAATCATTATTTGAACGCAGCAAACTGAATCTGAAAGTTTCTCAAGAAAGAAATGAAATAGATCACCACATAACATAAAATAAATCAAAAAATTCTAATAAATTACGATCATGTTTCAATCCAAGGGCGGCAGCATTATGACATATCATGATCGATTCTTTGTATCAAGAAGAAGTTCAGACAAAGGATTGTCAGACGCTCCGAAATCCACTCTGAATTGCTCAACCCAGCCCACTCTTTGACTTGATCTAATCCGGACCTGGTTCCGTGCCCTGACATAGCCACACCTGTTTCCTGACCTTACCATACCCACCCCTCCCCACCCATGACCTGACCCGAACCCTCCATAACCTAGCACTGACCTGACCACCAGCCGTGACAGTGACAGACGAACGTATCGTTGGCCTCAGTGCACAGCCCGCGGCCGCGGCACGGGTTATCGTCACAGGGCGAGCGGCGCTGTTCGCAGTGCAGGCCGTCGTGCAGTGGATCGCAGTGACACCGCACACCAGCGTCGGTGGCCTCGCACGTGCCGAACAGACATGGGGACAGTTCACAGGCCGGGATGTGGCAGAACAGGCCTGGAAAACGACAACACAGAATGTGACAGAAAGGGCCTCGAGGCTGGAACACGACACGGAACGTAACAGAAAAGGCTCGTTTGTACTGTAGTTAAGCATGTGGCAGTGGCTACATCTTTGGTACGAGTTCTTTATCACTATCTAAACGATATATCTACGATCGACATCATTCAATCAAACAGTGATCAATAAACGAACAAAGCAAATCACAAAGTAGGGGAGAGTGGGGTGGGTTGTATCAGTTTTTACTCCGAGACCCATAACCTCGTAACTATCCGTGATAAACTCATTATTTCCATACTATCTCCTTCCTTGATTCTTCTGCTTTTTTGTGCAAAGTAACTTTTCCGCTACCTCTACTAGTTTTTCTTCTACGGTCTGCCGAATAGAACAACGTTTTTGATACAACTTGCCCCATGGCTTGGGTGAGTTGTATCACATGGTGGGGTAATTTGTATCACTATTTCACGTTTCAGGGAGTGTGCTTGCTACTGGTTTTGAACATAACAACAACATTAAATGGGGTTAATACAATGTATATGCTCAAAGGCTTCACTTTTATTAGACCAAACTTAGGTCAATCCGAACGAAACATCGAAACGAACGAAACATCAACAGACTAGACGCAAAAGTGACCCGTTAAGAGCAAAGCAGCCAACACATTGTGCCAAAATGGAACGAGTATTGACTAGCTACCTACAAACGCGAGCCAGGGCTTAGCTTTCGCGATCAAAAGCAACATACCCATACATACATACATACATACATGTTACAACATACCCCACCCGGCTCTGATACAACATGTACCTCGCCGCCATCTTGGAAAAAACTTCCTCGTTCTCAAAAACAGCGGACAGCTGGAGAAATCCATTTTCACTCACGCAGCCTTAGAACCTACCCTCACCACCGCTACGGAGATCTTTCAAATTTGTGCACATCTAAATGCCCAAAACACACATTTTCCTGCAACTTATTTTTTTAGAATGACATTAAAAAAACATAAAATCGGCTCTCACCTCGAGACGCGTCCACCCAGCCACACGACAGAACAGAGAAAGGTGGCGCCCGGAAAACCTCGTCGGCTGGTCGTGTCACGAGCGCTATCTATTGGATAAGTTTGGCACAATTCGCCCTGATACAACTTGGACATGATACAACTCACCCCGCTCTCCCCTACCCATAACTGCAGGTCTGTTTTGGCCAAGCAGTTCGAGATTCTCCCCTCATTTCACATTCGTTGATACGCTGCGCTGTGGCTGGCAGTCTCTCCTAATTCTGATCACGTACCGACAAACTGAGCTGGACAAACACAGGCGAAACTGGCTCCCCGCTTGGTGCATTTTCCGGAGTTAACACACGGATGGAGAGCACAATCTTCCACCGCGCCCCCTGCAGCGCTGCTTTTGTTGTTGAAGGCTCCGTCTGAAAAGCACCAAGTGTCACTGGAGAATTACAATGAAGTGGTGAGATCGAATCCTGGGTCCGGCAATCTATCTTTAAAATCAGAGCAGAGCTATCATTTCTGATGATAAGCACTCAGTCCTCTCCGGGTACGGACTCGTACCTACCACGCTCAGCCTCAGTACTCGATGGTACGGACCCGGTACTCACCGGGTACAGCCGAGTAGCTGACGGTCAGCTCCGGCGGCTCCGACACAGCAGCGGAGGGGGCCGGACGGCGGCGCTGGCGGCGGCGGCGACGAGCGGCCACTCCCCCTGCTCGGGTCACCGTCAGCACGTGCAGATAGGAGCGAATTGAGGCGGTGTGGCGCGCACCGGGGCCCGGGCACAGCCACCAGTCCACGCCGCCACCACCGCCACCACCCGGGGCGTACGCATCCCGGATATGCACGTATGTCTGAAATGCAGGTGTTATGCATTTGTTTAGTTATTAAAGCCTGTTTATGTTTGCACAGTATTGTAGCTCATACAGTGCTGTACATTGGCGCCATTCGTTGTTCGTTAATTGCTGCTCTGCATACCTACAAAGCAAGCGAAAGCACTCAGAGACACACCGCGCAGCAGGTCTCAGGGACACCGACCCACTTCAGGCTCCGGTCATCCGCATTCCGGCGGGACCTCTGTGCCGATGACGTCACACCGTCCGCCCGACCGGCGACCGCCGTCTGCAGTTCGGACAATCGCTGTATATTCATGGGGTGGCGCCCTACTGCAGGCATCGGTGTTAGGTGGTATTCCAGGCTGACAGAATCCATTGGGCAACGGGTTTTTTTAAGGAGGCAGAATTTGAACTCTGTCTCTGCTGTAAGGTCCATGGAAAATTGTTTATGCCCCGCTGAAGATAATGTTGTGTGTGTCAATGACGGCGACTATAGATAGCACTGTGAAGTGTCGGATCAGGGCGTATTTTAACATGTTAACTGGGTCGGCAATTGCCGACCCAGTCACGGAGAATGCCGACCCAGTGACAGCCGTTTGCCGACCCAGTTGCCGCCCCCTCTAGGATGCAGCACGCACATGCAGGCTAGGTGCCGTCATTCATAGTGAGGCTGCTGCCCTCCGAAATGATAATGCCGCCTCTTAAAGTGAAGCAGCCGTCTATAGAAAGTGATGATCCCACAACTCAATGTGACAGTGCCGCCCCTAAATCTGTTAGTAGTCCCACTCAATGTAATGGTGCCGCCCTTCTAAGCATCTGTGGAGCCCCTCAATGTGATGATACCGCCCCTCAATGTGATGGTGCCGCCCTCAAAGTGCCGGTGGCGCCGCTGAATGTGATGGTGCTGCCCGCCAACGAGTCGATGGCGCCCCTCAAAATGATGCTGCCGCCCCTTAAAGTGTTGGCGCCGCCCCTTATAGTGTCAGTGACGCCCTTCGAAGTGTCGGAGGAACCCACCAATATAATGGTGCCGCCCCTCTAGATATCCACATAGCCCCTCATTGTGATGGAGCCGCCCCTCAAGCAGATGATGCCGCCCCTGAATGTGATGGTGCTGCCCGCCAACGAGTTGGTGGCGCCCCTCAAAATGATGCTGCCGCCCCTTAAAGTGTTAGTGCCGCCCCTTATAGTGTCAGTGACGCCCTTCGAAGTGTCAGAGGAACCCACCAATATAATGGTGCCACCCCTCTAGGTATCCACATAGCCCCTCATTGTGATGGAGCTGCCCCTCAAGCAGATAATGCCGCCCCTCAAGAAGATGATGCCGCCCCTTTCAGTATCGGTGGCGCCCCTCAATGTGATGGTGCCTCCCTCAAAGTGCCAGTGGCGCCCCTAAATGTGATGGTGTCTCCTGTCAACGAGTCGGTGGCACCCCTCAAAATGATGCTGCCGCCCCTAAAAGTGCTGGTGCCGCCCCTTACAGTGTCAGTGGCGCCCTTCAAAGTTTTGGAGGAACTCATCAATACAATGTTGCCGCCCTCTAACTTTCTGTAGCGCCCCTCCATATACATAATGGTGCCGCTTCTCAAACCATCCGTGGCGCCCCTCAAAGTGATGGTGCCGCCCCTTACAGTGTCGGTGGTGTCTCCTCAAAAGTCAAGGTGCCGGCTCTCAAAGAAATGCTGGTGTCCCTCGAAGTGTCGGAGGCGCTCCTCAATGTCATGTTGCCGCCCCTCAAACCTTCCGTAACGCCCCTCCACGTCATGGTGCCGCCCCCCAATGTGCAATGTGCTCACGGCGCCCATATGTGATAGTAACGCCGGTCAAAGTGCTCCTGGCAGTGTCGGTGGCGCCCCTTATAGTGTCGGTGGCGCCCCGAACAGTATCGGTGGTGGCCCTCAAAGTGATGATGTCACCCTCAAACAAACGGTGGCGCCCTTCGAAGTATCGGAGTCCCTAAATATCATACCTATTGCCGCCCATTAACCCGCGCCCCACTGGGGTCTGTGTATAACACGCCCTACTGGGGGGGGGCTATTCATAGCCCCCCCCCCCTCCTAACTCCGAAACTACTCGGCCGATCGTCAAAATTCAAACGGCGTCTGATAGCCCCGGAAAACTGTCGAGCCAAACCTAATTTCATTGACCTCGAGGTCACCGATGACGTCACAGGTCAGGTCAAAGTATTTTGCCCCACATCACTGCTCACATGGCGCCCTTCAATGTAATGGTGCCACCCCGCAACGCTCAAAGACATAATTGCGCTCCTCACAGTGTCGGTGGCCCTAAAAAAAAAAAAAATTGGTGGCGCGCCTCAAAAATCAGAATGATGCTGTCGTCCCTTAGCATATCTGCAGCGCCCCCAAAATGATAGTGCCTTCCCTTAACCGGCGCCGGGCTGAGTTTGTTTAAACCCCCCTCCCGACCCCTATAACTTGGCTACTTAGGCCACGTAGCGACACGCGGTAAGCGGTATTCGAAAGAGTGTCAAAAACTGCTTGGGTTAGTTGGTTAACCGTGCTTTGGTTAGGTCAAGTCAAATGTCAAATATCAGGTGACCAGAGGTCATCGAAGGTGAAATGTGGGTGAAATGTTGTCTGTTTCAACATTTATTGACAAACTGGCGCATAACTCGGGGAAGAATAGAACTACAGCACCGCGAAAAAGCGCATTCGATAGCTCTTCAACGTTCCTATGAAGTCCTCAGACTTGACCTAACATCAACGGCTTAACCTACAGAGCACAACTTGTTTAACCCGTGCCGGGCCGGGGAGGGTTGGAGGGGACAGTGGACCCCCTGCGCCCCTCTACTGAGCTGTTTTAATGAAGAACCTTTTTACTGTAATAATTATTGACTCACGAAAGTTATGACATTGTTTTTTTCAGTACTGTGCTCCTCTCGTCGAGATGCGTCGAATGAACTATAATTTGACATTCAAACGTCATTTGGGAAATTTGAGCTCAGGTCCCGGTCATGACCTGGCTGGTAAAGGTCATGTTGCATATCAGTCGATTTGTATCGTCAGACTGAAATCATCTATGTAAGGTGTTTTCATCGCTCAGGCATGTCGCATGTCTCTATCAGAAGTTATTGGAAAAAACTGCTGGAGGCCTACCATGACCTGACATGACCTCAAGGACATAACGAGGGGTCGTGGGTGGCAATTTTCCGATTAAGTGTGTCATTTTTAATTGTTTTCTGATGTTTAAATTCGTTAACTTTGACATTTGTCTACCTATAAAAAGAGGCACATGCCCTGATTTTCTCCCATTTCCTTTTACCTAATGGAAGGGTCGCAAAATTGTCCTTACATTTGGTCAGAGACATCGCAATTTCGAGACTTACATTTAACCCTCGCCGGTTGATGCAACCCCCCTAAGGTTTATCGCGAATAACTCGCGTAAAAAGCGGCCGATCGCAACGAAACTTTCAGTACCCTCGAATTGATCAATTTTACACCTACTCTGAAAATTTTATGACCCTGACTTCAATGACCTTTCACCTGTGACCTCTTTTCCGTGACCATGTTTGGCCGAAATCAAGATTCGGCGTATGTCGGCTCGCATTAACCGCGCGTTTGCAAGCTTTTCGTGGTTTCAAACGTTCAAACATGTGATTTGATGTTGCTCCCATGCATTAGGGTGGGTGTCAAGGTCACCTGAAGGTCAGGTCAGGTCATTGAACTTTGGTGACCTCGGCTCACTTTTTCGAGTTTTACATGTTTCTAGGCTAGTTTTTGGAGCTGAATTCGAATTTAGCAACCATTTAAATATTTACGAAGTAGTTTTGGTGCCTTCGTAACATGTTACGAAGCTGTCAGAGGCGGATGACAGGTACTACGAATACCCGGTACGACCCCTACCGGTTGACCTGACCTGACCTGACCCGACCTGGTCTAAACGCTTAACGACATCATCTGTGATCAAAACTAACACGATATTTGTGATCAGCACCCCGAAAAACCCCTTAGCAGCCACAATTTACGACTTTCAAACAGGTCCCGATATTCCCGATTTTTGGGTCATTGACCTGACCTGGAAGGTCAACCGATGACCTAGGACCTTGAAATTGGGTATCATTGGCTTCCTCTCGTGACGGGCAACACGCTCGTTTTTTTCTGCGAAGCTCTAGCTCCATCAGGGGCCAAACGCGAGGGGGGTCGTACCAACCAACCTTGTGCCGTCGAAGGACTCAAAATGGCCTGTGCCGGCGAGGGTTAAATATACAGTTACACACTGTTTGTCTTATCAATCGCTGAAGTTATAAAGGGATCGTTCAGTCGGTATATCTATGGTGAGTATTTGCCTATTCCGTGGCTCAGTTGGTAGAGCACCGGACTCCCCGCATTGTCTTCGCTTGCGTTTTGTCCGCCGGCCGAGCCGGAGAGAAAGTTACCGAGTGAAGGTCATTCAAATTTCAAAAACTCAATGACAATGTCACTGGGGTCACGAAAATGTTTGAGTAGGTAGGTATAACATTCATTAACCTGGGGGGGGGGGGGAGGGATGAACGTATCGTTGCAATACGCTGTTCATTACGCGAGTAACTAATAAATAAAAAATGTATGAGTTAATCCTTACTCCACACGCTCTCCCTCTCCATAAAAAAGAGAGTTAATTGTGTTGCATTTTATTTATACCTATGCAGAAAAATAGAGGCGTCAAAAGATATGGCCGAATATCAGCGACCCTTGCTGTGTAAGCAATGGGGTATGACAAGTGGGGGTAATGGCCCCGTCCAGCGCCCATAAAGTGGGCACACTCGTGCGACCTGCCGACCACTGTTCTAGATAGAGCCATAAAACGCCGTGAATATTTTAAGCTTGACGATACGAATCGACTGGTATGTAACATGTTTACCTCAGGTAAAATTTTAAAATTATTTTTTGTTAGGTCAAATTATAGTTCATTTATCGCATTATGATGAGAGAAATACTATATCCCGGAAAAATAAACGTAATACCGCTGAGCTTAGGTTGAATCTGAAATCATTACTTAGGAAGAGTTATAAAAGAACC